CATGTAATTGACTAGAAATCCTCAACGGATTGAAGATAAATTTTTTTCTATCTATTTGGTTTGCTTTCTTTTTGCAGTTCTAGAGGCCAAACTCAGGGTCTTGTGCATGCCAAGCTAATTTCTCATTAGTTCCTCAGGTATCATAAACATAAATTGAATGAAGGTTAACTACCACAAAAATATGAGTTGGTAATTAGTAAATAAATTAGTAGGGGCTGGGAAGTTGGCTCAGTGGCAGAGTGCTTGCCTTGCATGCCTGAGGCCCTGGGTTCGATTCCTCAGCACCACATAAGAAAAAAAGCGGGAAGTGGTGCTGTAACTCAAGTGGTAGAGCACTAGCCTTGAGCTGAAGAGCTGAGGGACAGCGCCCAGGCTCAGAGTTCAGGCCCCATGACCGGACCCCCCCCCCCCCCCCAAAAAAAGTAGTTTTTTTAAAAAAGATTAAATTTTTCCTTAAAGGAACAATGTAATTCTAAGAACAATGTAATTCTAAGAATAGGTTTCAGGGGGCTGGGAAGGTGGCTCAGTGGTAGAGTGCTCGCCTTGCATGCATGAGGCCCTGGGTTTGATTCCTCAGCACCACATAAGCAGAAAAAGTCGGAATTGGCGCTGTGGCTCAAGTGGTAGAATGCTTGCCTTGAGCTGAAGAGCTGAGGGACAGCACCTAGGCCCAGAGTTCAAGCCCCATGACCAACAACAACAACAACAACAAAAAAGAATAGGCTTCAGTTTTAGTACCCTTTCTCTTAGCGTTTGGTCTCATTTACAGTCTTAATATTTGTTTTATAAGCCTTTATTGACTTTGTTTACTAACAAGGCATTGTGTTTATGCAGCTATCTATTAAAAATTAATAAGTTTAATGAGTAGCACATGAATAGTGTTGATCCAAATGAACCATGCATTATTTTGCTCAGATGTCACAGATTCCTTAATTTGGGAGATCTTCCAGAGTTATATTTTTAGGTGAAATAAATACAACTCACCAGTACAAATACAGTCTTTTAACTTATTTGTTTTGTAAAATGGCCTAATAGTGTCATTTTTATTATACTGAATTTCTTTAGTATCTGTACATTCATCCTATTATCTCCAGTAATATTATGATTTATTGCTTTTAGTGTCACTTTGGAGGAATCATGTTATAAATAAGCTAAGATGCCACATTTATTAAAGAAATATAATCTACTCAGTTAAGTTTTTAAACCAGTTAATAGTTTTTTTAATTTCATTCCATAAAAAAATCATAAAATTTCAAAATTGCAATTGACCTTGGAAGGCATCTAATGTAACCTTCTAGTTTTAAAATCATATTTCACAGGATTAATAGCCTTATCTTCTGTTGTCCACCTCAGTTTATATGAGGGAGCTACTTTGTAATAAGTTCTTCCCATGGTATTTCAGAAATGTTCTTAAGTCCACCCTCCCAGGTCTGTTGTTTAGAATTCAGAGCAATTTTCCATAGAAACAATATTATAAATAGGGGTAAGATTTTAGGACTAACCCTCAAAATATGATTGAGAGTCAGGGCAGGCTGGTGGTACTGGGGTTTGAACATAGGGCCTTGCACTTGCTAGTCAGGCACTCTATTGCTTGAGACATGCCGCTAACATACGGGACTGAGGTTTTACTTTTGCAGTGCAAAATCTTTTGAGTCATCATAGCTATTTACTTCTGGAGAACTGGGAGGTGAGGCCATTATAGAGGGCTATGACAGGATTCTTTTTATCTTTCATATCTTACAGTAGGTATTGGATGTGGATGCTTTTCGCCTATTTTCTGAACTTGTATATGGCTCAATTATTTGATAATTTCAACAATGGTATTTTTGTACTAGAATCTCAGTTTGAGTATAAGTATTCGTGTACATTGAATACTGGTGCTTAAGAGAAAAAAAGTTTGAGCAGGGAAGGATAAAAAGGGTAGTTAGAAAACCTGGCGCTGATGGCTCATGTCTCATTCAGAAGACTGAGATCTGAGGATCACAGTTCAAAGCCAGCTCAGGCAGGAAAATCAGTGAGACTCTGATCTCCAATTAACTACAAAAAGGCCAGAAATGGTGCAAGGATGCTAGCTTTGAGCACAAAAGCTCAGAACACCCAGGCCCCAAATTCAAGCTGGAGGACTGGTACATGCACACAAGGTAATTGGAAAAGAAAACAAAATGTTGCTGTTTTTGTTTTCTTTTCCTTTTGTCTTATTTGTATTTGGGATAGTGAGGGGATATAGAAAAGGTATAACAAGGGTGAGCAAATGTAACAGTGGTACTCACACAAGGTGGAAAATGAACTGTACATCTTGTGGGTGGGGACAGGAGGGAAAAACAAAGAGAGAACTAGGGAAAGAGCGACATGCTTCAAAAAGAATTGTACTCATTACTCATCACCTACTCATGTAACTGTAACCCCTCTGTATATAGAATATAAAATAACAATAAATAAAAATGAATCCAGTGTATATCCTACAGAATTAAGGGAAGGGTGGTGAGTGAAGGGTTGGGTGAGATCATTGAAAGAGATTACATTGGTCAAGATATATTGTATTCACAAGTTATTAAATGGCAATTGCTTTATACAACTACTTAAGGATGATAAAATTTAAATAAAAATAATTGGAAATTCTGGATGAGTTTTATAAGGGACTTTCAGAGGCTTTGCTTTGATGTCTTTATTTTGTGAAATACTACTTCAGAATATATGTCTTGTGCTTTATTTACATTTTGTTAAGTTTCAACTAAGTGAATCACCAAGTCTTTCATCCAAAAGCCAAATAAATGTAGGCATGGTTTTGTGAAAGGAAAAAAAAAGTTTTTTTATTTTTAATTTTTTGTCAGTTGTGGAGCTTGATTCAGGGCCTGGGCACTGCCCTTGAGCTCTTTTGCTCAAGGCTAGTTGCTCTACCACTTTGAGCCACAACTCCAGTTCCAGTTTTTGAGTGGTTACTTGGAGATAGCAGTCTCAAGTGGACTTTTCTGTGGGGTCTGGCTTCAGACTGGGATCCTTAGATCTCAGCCTCCTGAGTAGGTTAGGATTACAGGCATGAGTCACCAGTGCCCAGCTGGACAAGTTTTAACAGGTAAAGAAGTATGAATTACACGTGTATGTGCAAACATTGGCAAGATCTTGCTTTGATGTGCAGTTATATGAATTAGGGGCTTGGGAAAAAAGAAGCAAATGATGAAGTAAAGCTTGTGCAAAGTCTGAATATGGAGAAGGGCAGGGAGGAACGCAGTGGGATTAAGCACTGACATCACTGACAGTGATTGGCTTGATTACTGTGGTGAAAAGATTTGCAAACAAGTTTGGACTTGGCAGAATAGTGTGCATACAACCAATGGTATTTTTTTCTAATAAAACTAATGCTAAATACACACACACACACACAGAATCATCTGTTGATGGCATTTTAGAAAACAACGGAGGCAATTTTCTCAATAATTTAATTACTTTTTGTTTATGGTAGTTGTTCTTTGTTGCTCTTTAGTTTTTTTTTTTTTTTTGCTTCTTTTTTTTTGGGAGGGGGGGTCCGGTCATGGGGCCTGAACTCTGGGCCTGGGCGCTGTCCCTCAGCTCTTCAGCTCAAGGCTAGCACTCTACCACTTGAGCCACAGCACCACTTCCAGCTTTTTTTTTCTTTTTGCTTATGTGGTGCTGAGGAATCGAACTCAGGGCCTCAGGCATGCAAGGCAAGCACTCTACCACTGAGCCACCTTCCCAGCCCCACTCTTTAGTTTTTATTTTTCAGTGTACAAGATTGATGTTTTTAAACTGAGACATTAGTCCAGCTCTCTAACCCATTTATAATTTTAGATAATTATTATTTGCCTTTTAGCAGAAAATTAACCTAAGAAGCATTTTTTTCTCATTAAATCCATAGTATACTTCAGAAAAATGTGTCCATTTTGCAGATGGTCTATCTGGTATTACCACAGAGAAGTTCTTTATTTTGAAGAAAAATAATACCTCAGGGAAACTTCTCATGGAGTTCAGTAGCTAGTTGCATTGAAATATGTGACAAAATTGATCTATCTTGTAATTGGTATCTCAATTTATTATTCAGATTGAGATTAAAAAGGGAACAAGGTAGAGCACAATTAAAAGCAATTATGGGAATTAAAACAAGAGTGTTTAAAAACGAGCTTAAAAGCCATTTAAGAAAGGAGGCTAAAGACTGGGGGTCTTAAGAAACAAAGATTACATGCCGGTGGCTCATCCCTGTAATCCTAATTATTCAGTAGGTTGAGATCTGAGGATCGTAGTTTAAAGCCAGTTCCAGCAGGAAAATCCATGAGACACTTTATCTCCAATAAACCACCAGAAAACTGGAAGTGGCGCTGTGGCTCAAGTGGTAGAGCATTAGGCTTAAGCTGAACAGCTCAGGGACAGCACCCAGGCCCAGAGTTCAAGACCCACAACTGACGCCCCCCCCCCATAAAAAAAGGGCAAAGCTAGATATAAAGTACATGTAAAGAGAAAAAACACTTTGATATTCTTTATGAGTAGTGTAACTTACTTTATACTTGGACTACAGTTTTATGCATGTACATATGTATGTATGTATTTTTTGTGGTATGATTGAACTGAGGGCCTTATGCTTGCTAGGCAAGTACTCTACCACTTGAACCACATACCCTCAATCCTTTTGCTTTAGGTTTGTTTTTCATACACATTCTTGCCTTTGGCTGCCTCAAACTGTGATCGTCCTACTCCCTTCACTTGGATTATAGGTGTGTAATGTTATGCCTGGCTTGTATTCTGAGATCAAGTATTGCTCACTTTTTGCTTGGTCTGGCTTTGCTTGAACAATGATCCTCCCAACTCTCTCTTGTTAGTGGATGGGACCATGCCTGGCTATTATGCCTTTTAGAGACATGTATTAAAGACAATCATTTTCCTAACAATGGCTGTGGTTATTATTTTATGTATGAATATGGACAAAAGATTAATCTTAATATTAACTGTCTACTCTGAAATTTTATACCCTCTTTTTATCTTTTTAACAGAGCCCAGAATTGTTAAGAAATAGCACGTGGCAGATATGGGGAAAAGATAATTCAAGACAGTTATTAGATGCTACAAAGGTAAGATTACTTCTACATATAGTAGGAAAAGCATGCAAGCCCGTGGACATTTTCCAAGTTAGCCTACATATTTACTACAGATTTTATATTTCTCAAATAATTTCCTTTTTTATGTTTTTCTAAATACTGGCAAGAAGGTATGTTTCTTTGACTAGAAATACAGAGATAAATCTTGGTATTTTTCTACCCCTGGAGAAATCTGTATGAATCTCATGAGATCATTGCCAAGTAGAATAACATTTTTTCAGAAAGCTTTTATAAATGTAATGGCAGCTTGTTGACACTTAAATTCATCCTGGTAATTTGTATCTGATCTATGGAATGTTACAGTTTTTCAAGAGAGTGAAATTTCTTTACTTTAGAAGATACTCAGCAGACTGCCAGGAGAGATTCTAAGCTTGTTAGAGCCCCTGGGGTATGTGATGGTGAGTTTACATGTTGATGAGACTTAATTTTCCTGGCTAATGTAAGCGAAAGGCATCTTTAAAAATTCCCTGTACTTTAAAACAAGACATACATTTCCATAGTAGAAAAAGACTAGAAAAGTAGAAGATGTTCTAAATCTTAGAAACTTCCTGTACTTTTTTCTCTCTGATTAATAATTATTTACCACTAATGTACAAGAAACTGACACTATTTGAATTTATGCAGAGGCCAAACAATGCATTTGATTTTCCATTATTAAAATTACAAGAGAAAAAGTCTTTTGCTTTAAGTCTGCATTGTCTTGTGTTTCATTCACCACACCCCTTGGTAACACTTGCCTTTTAGAGGAAAAAGCTGTCTTAGAGAGACATTGCCAGACTAAATATTACTTTTTGATGTTTTTCTTTTCACAGAATGCTTTGTTGATCTAAAAATCAATAATACATTTATAGCAATTACTTTTTGTGTCTTAACTGGTAAGAATAAAAAGGGACTTTTGCTTTTAGTAATTCCATTTTGATAGTTTGGCCCTGAGCTGATACTTTTGTGTATAGTACTGGTACCTATTAATGTTGGTAAGAATCGTGTTCTTGTTTATTAGGTCCTGATTATTATGACTACTGAAAAAGTATCTTATAGTTCTATACTTCACTAAGTAGTTTTAAATTATATTCTTCTTACCTTTAAGTCGTTGTAGAAGGAGTTACCATTCAACAAATCATTTTATGAGTACAATGCATCTTAATGTCACCCTTTTCATCAGTCTCCCTCATCCCTTCCAACTCTTCAGTAAGTTGGTTGTTTTTTTTTTGCCAGTTCTGGGGCTTGAACACAGGGCCTGGGTACTATCCCTGAGCTTCTTTTGCTCAAGACTAGTGTCTACCACTTGAGCCACAGCACTACTTCTGGCCTCTTCTGTTTATATAGAACTGAGGAATCAAACCTGGGACTTCATGTATGTTAGGCAAGCACTCTACCACTAAGCCACATTTCCAGCCCAGATAAGTAAGTTTTTCAGTTGTGAAAACACTAATATTAGCAAGCTTAATTTTTTTGCAAGTCTAAATTTTAAACTGAGTTGTTTATATCTTATTTTCTCAAATATTTTTATTTATATATATGTCCTAATTTTAGCAGTAATCTTAAGACCTTAAAAAGTTTGAAATAGCAAATAAGGCTAGTTATGTAACAAGTATCAAAGGAATCCACCCTACATTGCTGTGCTATATACAAGACAGTATGGTCTGTACCAGGAGAGAGAAAAAATACTGAAGATATTGCCCCTAACCTTAAGAAATTTACTTTGTAATAAGAAAAACAGAACACATATGCAGATGACTATAGCATAAGATAGGTTGTGAAGTATTAACAACTCCTGTTGCTAAATATAGATGAGTCAGAATAAGAAAAAAAAAGAATCATTGTCTGAAATCAAATTTATTAGTTTTTTAAAAAATATATATACACAAAAAAGTAAGTAAGGTATTAAATTAATTAACTATATTTTCTTATCCAATAATAGAGTAACAGATTACAGCTCTATGGTTGTGAATGACAATATGGGAGCCAGTAGAAGTCAAATAAAATAAAATATAATTCAAAAAGCTGTTTAGAGAAGGTGATTTGACTATTTGTTGTAGCTCAGTATCCTATGTATAAATTTAGCTGCAAGCTAATTCTGAAGGTGTTTTGCTTTACCATGCCAGGCTAAAAGGAATGCCTTTGAAGTCATTTAGGGGTATTTATAAGATTAGATTGTCTAAGCCAATTTTTTTAAACACCTGAAATTCTTGGCATCATTTTGAACTAGGCTCTCCAGTCATGGCCACTGATAGAAAAGAGAACATGTTGGCATGGTCACGCAGGAGGAGGACTCCACACAGACCCAAAAGAAGGGGTAAGAGCAGTAACTTAACAAGTATCTGAGAATTGTCTGGTTGTGCTTACATGGAAGATATATGTATTTAAGATTATCATATTTTCATGTATATATATAGAGAGAGAGACAGAGAAAACAGACAGAGACAGAGACAGGGTCTTGGTATGTATTCCAGGCTGGCCTGAATTTGTTATATAGCCAGGTGGCCTTGAGCCCTTAATCTTCCTGTCTGTCTTTTCACTACAAGGATTATGGGCTTCATGTTCTAGTGTATTTTGGTTAGCTCAGCTAACTGTATGTTTTCTAATTCCAAATCACATCAGTTGACTAGAGTTACATAGATAAGCTATTTATAAACCTAATTTTTAAATTTTGTTTTGAGACAGGGTCTTTTTGTATAGCTCAGATTGACCTCAAACTCAAAGATCCTCCTGCCTCAGCCCAGTTCTGGGGTTGCAATCATGTACAACAATGCTAGTTTAAATGTTTTAGTTCTCTAAAATATCATTAGTTATTTGTTGCATAATCTACTCTTTCAATAAGTAGGCAAATTAATTTCACATTTACAAATGATTTGCTTTGTGTGTATGTGTTTTAAGGTCTATGATTTGTCTTTTGTATACTTAGTTCCTACCTACATTATCTCCTAGCTTCATGGTAAATAGTCTGTATACCATTTATTATCCATATTCTTTGTTCTTATTGTTCTTATCATTATACAGGCATGCTAAATAGGAGAGCTCCTGAAATAAAAAGATTTAATTGCACTGTACTTTTTCTAAGTGAGTGAAAATGTTATTGGACTATTGGTACATGTCTCTCCATCTGGTCCTTTTTCTCTGAGCTTGCTTTTATTTTCTTCCTCTGCTTTGACCGAATCATGTGGCACTTCTAAGTAGAAATAATATTTTCAGAACTGATGGCAAAGGAACAAATTTTATGCAAAAGTGCTCTATAAATTATAGAGACATAGGTAAATATTATTTTATTTTTTCAGTAGGTAATTGGTAAAAAACACTTCATCAATTTTCTTCTTCTTTGATTTGTAGTGTAGCTGTTTACTTTCAAGGTACTCAAAGCACTAGACATGTTTCTGTCCTATTTTTGTTATTGCTATCCTTTAGAAATAGCAAATTGTCATGATATAATTTTTCTGGGCGTGGGGCCTGAACTCTGGGCCTGGGCGATGTCCCTCAGCTCTTCCTATGATATAATTTTTAAAAATTAAGCCAGTAGTGAGATTTATTTATCCATGTGTTAGTCTTTGGCATGATATCTGCCAGTTTTCAAGATCATCTGTCATCAAGGCCTCTTAAGGAAAATTGCTAATAATGCCCTAAACACAAATGAAAATATATTGACTAGAAACAAGAAGTATCATGTCTTAAGCTCAAGCAATATAAACTTGAAGGAAGTTCATAGTGTGCAAATATGAAGATGTTGCTATGAAACCCATTTTATGCTATTAAAAAATCAGGAAAAATTATAAATATCAGGACAGTTGCTTTTCTAATACAATATAACAAAGCAAAAAAAATCACTGAAATACTTTATTTTTGGTCTTTATATCTTTGTTCTTTTTCCTCTGCTATCTTTGTAATACTTTAGCTTTGTTAGCTAAGTACAATAATAGAATATTGAGTTTAGAACCCAAGTAAGAAACAAAACAGTCTGGAATTACAATTAAAAGTCTATGCTTGGGCTGGGAAGGTGGCTCAGTGGTTGAGCGCTTGCCTTGCATGCCTGAGGCCCTGGGTTTGATTCCTCAGCACCACATAAGCAAAAAGAAAAAAGCCGGAAGTGGCGCTGTGGCTCAAGTGGTAGAGTGCTAGCCTTGAGCTGAAGAGCTGAGAGACAGCGCCCAGGCCCAGAGTTCAGGCCCCACGACCGGACCCAAAAAAAAAAAAAAAAAGTCTATGCTTGAAAAAAAAATCTATGCTGTAAAGCCAGACTACCTGGATTTGAACCCTGCTCCATCACTTCCTAGTAGAATGACCTTGAACAAATTTCTTTTTTTTCTTTTCTATTGTTAGTGTAGAGTTGATATACATAGGGTTATAGTTACATGAATCAAGTAATGAGTAATGAGTACAGTTCTTTTTGCTCCATGTCTCCCCTTCCTTCACTCTCTCCCAGTTTTTCCTTCCCATCCCCACCCACAAGGTATCCAGTTAATTTTCCACGTAGTGTCTACTGAGTATCACTTTTGTATTTGTTCACCCTTGTTGAACAAGTTTCTTGTCTCTCTGCTTTGATTCCTTCATCTGGGAATGATCATACTGAAAGGGATTTAAATATGTTAACTACTGACACCCACACATAGGAGGTATTTAGTGAATATTAGCTGCTGTTCTCATAATGTCAGGCTATAAGGCTTGTCCTCTACTACAGTCTAGTCACTTAAAAAGTATGTGTTGTATTGTATTTTTGCTTTGTGCTAAACTATATGCTGAATACTGAAGATAGAATTATGAACAAGACAGAGTCCTTGCTGTCTAAAAATGTAACAGTTTAGATGACAGAAAATCTAAACTACTAGATAGTATTTTTTATCAAATAATAGATATGACCTTACAAAGCAACTAAAATCTTTAATGCTTTACTTTTTACTCATTCTTACTTGTGCATTTTAAATTATTTGGTGGTAGTACTAGAGTTTGATCTTGGGCTTCATGCTTAGCAGATGCCATACCTTCAGCCCTTTAAAAAATTGTTCTCTCTGGTTATTTTTCAAATTAGGGTCTCACTTTCTGCCCAGACAAGGCTGGACCACAATTCTCTTATTTATGTTTCCTGCCGAAGCTGTGATAACAGGCATACACACCACTATATAATATATTGGTTGAGATGGGTTACCAAAAACTTTTTGCTGAGGATAGCTTCAATCTTTGATCTTCCCAATCTCAGAGTCACTAGTAGCTAGGATTACACATGAGCACCAGCACTTGACTCCATTTGTGTAACCTTAACACCTATTAATCAGCAGTAATAATGCATAGCAAAATGTATACCACCTGTTTATCCTCTGTGGCAATCATAATGGGTTTGTGAAAAAGGAGTGGTAATTTCAATTTTGAAAGTTGCTGCTATTAAAATAGGTGAATCAAAGTATATCTTTCATAATAGAATCTTGAGATTTTTTTTAATGATTTTACTCCTGCATCTAAATTTTTATTTTTATTTATTTATTTATTTTTTGGGTCCGGTCGTGGGGCCTGAACTCTGGGCCTGGGCGCTATCCCTTAGCTCTTCAGCTCAAGGCTAGCGCTCTACCACTTGAGCCACAGCACCACTTCCGGCTTTTTTCTTTTTGCTTACGTGGTGCTGAGGAATCGAACCCAGGGCCTCAGGCATGCAAGGCAAGCGCTCTACCACTGAGCCACCTTCCCAGCCCTCCTGCATCTAAATTTTTAGCATACCTTTCCGAGGGCATCTGACAGTGAATTTAGTTCATCCTTTGCTTTTAAATTGGAACATAAATAACGCAGAAGTTAATGAAAAGACAACTTACATTTTCCTAAAGACCTTGCTTGACATAGTTTTTTTAAAAATCTAATTGATTGGATAGCTTCTGAAGTCAATAGTAGTAAAAGGAGATTAGTGCCCACTAGAGCAATCAGACAGCTTTGGAATAAATCTTGATTTAAACAGAAGTAAAACAGCAACTTGGAGTATTTAAAATTGAAAGATTGAGGAGATAATGAATGTGCAGATTTGTTAAAATGAGCAAGCACACAGATCAATGGATAAGAATACCTGGATGACATGGAGAGGCTGTTTTCTCACTCAGATTTCATACATCATCAAGCAAGCTTATGATCTTCATTTGATATCTCAAATTGACTTCATTTGGGGATAAAGAATTCACTGACTGGCCAATTTAAATATCTGTATGCTTGCTAGTTACTTTTTATTGTAAATTATTAAATGAACTATTGGATACAATCCATCTCATGTGTAGCATAATCCATTTTTCCTCCTGGCCTAATCACCACTGGATATATAAGCTCTTCATTGAAAGTTCAGATCAAGGGAGCTTAGAAAACCCTGAAGTTCAGAGACAATAACAATAATTCCAGAGCCTTTTTTTTGGGGGGGTGGGGTCCAGTCATGGGGCCGGAACTCTGGGCCTGGGCACTGTCCCTCAGCTCTTCAGCTCAAGGCTAGCGCTCTACCACTTGAGCCACAGCGCCACTTCCAGCTTTTTTCTTTTTGCTTATGTGGTGCTGAGGAATCGAACCCAGGGCCTCAGGCATGCAAGGCAAGCACTCTACCACTGAGCCACCTTCCCAGCCCCTCCAGAGCCTTTTCTGATAGTTTATATTTTCCTCTAATTCTAAATTCATTCCATAATGTAGGTGAACTTTGGCTACCATCTGAGTTTTTCAATTATATATCTTCCCGACTTGCTTGTCTTCTTTTGACCTAGCTTTTACCAAGCCAGGAAGAGTATTCAAGTAGCTGTCTTAATTATTCCTTTAATTAATATTACCTTTAGCTTGGGCTAAGGAGACATTTGTCTTCTCTGGATGGTTTATCTGTCCCTGAAATTATTCTAAATTAGTTCTTTAGGGAAAAGACATTCTAGCCCATATTATTACAAAACAGATACCATTCCTTTTTTTTGTGTTTTTTTTTTTTTTGCCTTTCTCACCACAAGTTTTGCCTCTAAGTAGTTTTTCAAATTTAGTCCCTTGATTCTGGGAGTTCCTACATTTTTCTTATTCAAATTTAGGGATATCTGTAAAATCAGAATTCTTAGATAAATCCTCTTCAACTAAAGGAAAGGTGATTCAGTTACCTTTATCAAAAGACTATTTTCTTTTTTCTTACTCTTTCATTTTCTTATCAAAGCCCAATGGATTTTGCTCTCTTGAAAGGAATGAGCTTTTAGTGAAAAAAATTTGCTTTTCCTTCATGCTTGATGACATTTTCTGGTGAGCTACACAAAATTCTCATCTGAGAAGCAAAAAATGTATTTATTTTAAAAAGTTATTTTAATATCTTGAAAGTCTACC